CTACTTGAATCATAGTTATTTAGAGTAGTTAGTGACCCTGGGAAATATACTGGTCGCTATTTGGTTACTTACTCATGTATTTTTAAAGTATAGTAACATTAAAATAGGTATTTGGTTTACACAATAGCTTTATGTTAATACAGCTTGCCATACACACTGCCACGCCGGAGAGGGAGCGGTTGCGCGGGCACGCACAGGTAGATTTCTATTATCAGTGTTCAGGTTAACCTGGAAATCACAGCTGCGGGTCTCGAGGTAGCACATATTTTTCACCAATATGTCAGGCCGATCAAGACCTGGCTATTATCGTCAGGAGGTGAATAAAACCTGTTGGGAGGTTCCGGAGAGATACAGAGATATGAAACAGGTGGGGACGGGGGCATATGGTACAGTATGGTGAGTGCTACTCTCATTTTCTGTACTTCCTGGAAAGATTCGTGCTTTACATTTGAAAAACACGTAATGCATTGTCACTGTAGCAGATCCATGTATCTGGCGTCTATTCAAAACAAATGATGTGTAAGGAGGTAGTCAAGCACAAGTGAAACATCACTTTATGATTAAGATGCCCAGAAGTGGCTTGAGATATTCAGTTGTACGGTATGTTTGAGAGTAGCCTGCGTATGTTTTCTCACTTGAAGATATTCAAGATAAACAAAGACAGAAAATGAGAGTTCCAAATGAGAAATCCAGTGCCTGCAAAACTACGTTGTGTACAGCTCGTTGCATATGAGGTTAATAATTATAAGATGGCAGCTGTTGACGAATACTGTGGTCAGGTGATGCTGGTTTATTGCATGTCCTCACCTTTCCATATTTGATTTAAAAGGCCCAGAGGAATATCCCAGAGTAATATCACTATTAAGACAAGTCCCACAACTTAAAGGTGCAGTGTGTAAATTGTAGCGTACGGTGCCCGTTAGGTGACATGTTCGGTTCACTTAGTTGTATTTATTATGTCTACGGCTCACCCCACCAGAGAAGCTATGGCGGCCGATACAGGACTAAAGCCCAATTTATACTTCTGCGTCGAACCTACGCCTTAGCTTACGCATAGACGCACACCCATACGCCGCAGCCTGACCTGCACCTCTCTAAAAATCTAACAGCGCGTCAATTCTACGCAGACCGCAAGCACTGTGATTGGTCTGCAAGAACCCCTCCCTCCATATGTACTCGAGTTTTGTGTGTGTTTATGTGCACTTTAATATATTTTAATGTTACACCTTCTTATATAAAATAAAACAAAGCAAAGAACGAGTGTCTTATCATTTATTATACTACATAGCATTATACATCAGTAGTTGTCCGCAACAAACAATGTTGATCTGCCGTGGTACAAGTCCTTGTGCAGATTGAAAGAATGCCATCATCTCCTGTTCCGTTGTTGTCTCCTTTTTGTAGTTTTAAATAATGATTTAATGATTTGATAGCTTCTCCTACAAGCCGCTTCTTCTTCGACTTTTGCCGTGGTACTGCGGGTTACACCAGCAACATGCCCGTGGACACTGCGGACTAGCGGTTTGCATGTGTACTGCACGTTGATGCGGACAACGACGCAGAAGTATAAATGAAAACTGACACATAGCCTACGGCGTAGGTCAGACGCAGAAGTATAAATCAGCCTTAAGATGTCGTAGTTTGAGACAGCAGAGAGTAGCCAGCAGGCACAGCGCCAGAATTATTTCTCTACCGGTGCTAAGGGGAGGCTAGACCAATATGTGGGGGTGCTAAGAAAATAAATGATATTGATGACGTCAGAGTAAACCGGGGCTATTCAAAATTCTGACGGCGCTATAGCCCCCCCTAGCCCCAGTGTAGCGCCGTCACTGGTAGCCAGCAATGAGGTTTCTTTACAAAGGTAAATTAAGGAATTATATTTACTTAATTATTCAATAAAACAATGTTATTGCGAATATTATTGTTACTTCTTCATCATTGTGTCAGTGTTTTATTCGCAAGAACAACATAGTGACGAAACGTGCTCTGTTGGTCCTTTGCGACTTCCAAGGCCCTGTCCCAAATGGAACACTTCATGTGCACTTGTGGTCTTACAGACTTACAATGGCCGCCGTGTGCGCATGTCTGTTAAGTCCACGAGACCGTAGGGTGTCCCATTTGTCATTTTAGTGTTCAGAAGGGTGCTCGCGAGCACCACCTCTTGCGGCCGTTATGTGCCCTCGATCCGCACTTCTGCCGAGCCCGCACTGGGGCGAGCTCCGCAGCATACTTCTACCCGACAGTCAAAGCGGCATTACGTCACGAAAGTGCGGACTCAGAGGAAGACCGCTGGGGTTTAGGGTGCCATTTGGGACAGGGCCCATGTAAGGGGACCTGGTGTGCCTCACACGTCCTGAAAAGTGAAGCTGCAGGCTCTTTGATCTCCCCCTGGTGGCTGGCTGCAGTACAGGTCATAAACCCCGCCCTCTCCATGTAAACGAATGGGACTTGAGTCAAAATAAAAAAATAAATTACTCTTCCAATACAATTTTCCAAAAGATAGTTTTGGTCATTAAAGGTTGTTGTTTTCACGCTGATATATGTTCAATTGTTCGTTTTTGTGATAGGTTTGATTTTAGCTAGTAATTTGATGCTATGAAAACGGGGCGTGTCGTTATGGTTGATTGGGTCTGTGGGAGTTTGGGCGGGAGTTTGATACCGCAGCTCTACCTCACGACACTACTGCGCAGACTCGGGCTCCAAATGACGTCATTTACTCAAGATGGCAGCAGCCATACTGAGATGCTTTGGCTTCACTTTTCTATCGTGGAAGGAATAGGAGACGCGTCGTCCATCTTTTTTTACAGTCTATGAAGGGGACCCGCGGTGTATGTAGATATAAATTGCTCATTCTAAGTTAATAAAAACATAACGGTTCATTGTGTAAGGGCTTTATACACCTCTGAAAACATAGTTATGTATATTATATTGCATTTCTGTCAATAGATCCTCCTAAATATTATGCACTGCACCTTTAACTATGAAATTATAGGCTATTACCATTTACTATCACTAAAACCACTCGTCCTCAGACCAATCCTTCATTTAGATTAAAATATATCTCTTAAAAACACAAATATACATATGTATCTTTAAAAAACACATTACTACTTCTCTTAGTTTCTTTTGACATAGCAATAGCTTCTTTTGTCCTAAATTCTACTATATTTAGTTCAAAA